AACTTAAAGAATGACCGAAACAGAATTCGCGACGCTTAAATTTAAACTCTAAATTCCACCGGTCGTCAATCAACTTTAAAGCAAAGTACAAATTATCAAGAAGAAATGTGAATGGATCACATGTCAATAAGCCAAAGACAAACGGATCTAATCTGGAAACTCAAATATAATCTAAACGTTTTATTTTTCAATTACTCGTATTCAAACACATTGAACAACAAGATAGCGCATCAGGCAACTAGAACAGATCAACGAATATTTCTTTAGAGCATGAACCGCAACTAGAAGCCGATTTCAAACACAAACTCTCCTAAAATTTGATCAAATATCTACCACTATAGAAGTGAATTCCCTACGGCTCTTATCATATTTCGACCACCAAACATCGAGTAAAAGAGAAGGAGTAAACCCGAAATAGATGTTTTTCAGTATATTGTTAAAAGGATGAAGCAAATACAGGGCCTCAAAAGAAGACAGCGAACCATCACCGAAAACACAAACGACACCAGAAAGCTTGAGCCCAATCAGACCTCAATCGAACTCCATATTGAAATAAAATATCGAAACAGAAAAAAGCAACAGAAATATTTTATAAATTTTTTTTTGATTTTTTTCTTGACTTTTTGAAATGAAAGCAAAAAAAAAAACAGAAGAAAACCAAGAAAAGGAAAAGAAGATCTCTGAAAATCAAACCCTAGTTTTTTTTCATTAAATTTTTCAATTTCCTAAAATTCCTGTCCGAAAATCCTCTCTTTTTTTCCGATTTTTTCTCTCCCGAAAATACTCCGATTTCTCTCCTTTATAGTTCGAAATCAAACAAATGGAGGGTCTAGATTGACATTCATTAAATCTACGACCCCCATTGATTCGATTTGAACTTGGAGAGCAAGAAAATGCGTGAAAATAATGAGGTTTTGTACGGAGTGTGTGACGTGAAAGAAGGAGAGAAGAGAAGAGGGGACCATAGGGGGCCAGTGATGACGTGAAAGGCCGGAAAAATGACTTTTCCGGTGGGTCTTGGGCGGCTTAGCGGCGGGCAGATGTGAAGGGGGGGGGGGGAGCGTTTGGTTAGTTAAGTCTTTAGGATTTTGGGAGTTATAATATGGTTTATATTTGGTTAGGGAAAAAGATCTGGGTCATTGGATTAAGGAAGGTGAATGGCTGAGATTTAATCCTTATTTTAAAGGGATGATGGGTTAGTGGGATTGGGCTCAAGGGTGGTCCGATTTGGGCTAGGGAATTGGGTTGTTAATTTTTGGGCTAGATTTAAATTAGGCTTTAAAATTCTATAAAAATTAGGCTAAGAAAAATTGAAAAATTAATTTACTTCTAAAGTAATATAAAATACCTATATATAAAATATATAAAATAACTCTTAATTGATTTTAATAAACTATTATATTAAAATAAAACTAAAAACCAAAGTGAAAACTATTTTTTTGTATTTGTTAATGATTATATTAAAAATAAAATAAGTTAAAAGTAATCATCTTTCTAAAAATACCTAATACCTGAATTAAATAAAAAAGATGAAAATATTTTTGTATTTTTGTGCCTTTAAAAATAGAATAAAAATTAATAACAAAGTGAAATCATATAGAAATAAGCTCAAGTAATATTCTAAAAATACTAGAACTATTAAAGATAATTCTAATGCGCGGGTCAAAAATTACATGTTTACAACTTTGATATCATTTCCCTGGAGCCTAATGCTAGTTAAGATGTAATATTGATCCATTAGGACAAAACTCAAATGATTACACAACTTCTATTTATGTATGAAAAAATGGTAAATCAAAAAGATAAATAGGTGTTTGTAACTACATTTTGACAATCAATTTCTCTGAGAGCTTCATCTTGTTACTTGCTAAATGCATGTCATTGTCAAATTATTAAACTAAAAAATATTTTCCATCATACTTTATTATCTAATCTATTATCTATACTATATTAAACGCATGAAGCTTCTTAGCGAAATATTGTTCGCCTTTTTTATCTTTTGAAAATAGAGTTCACATTAGACATGATAAATGTTTTAAAAGGCAGGAGCGTGAGGCGAAGCGTTTTATCTCTGACGAGGCAAGGCGTAAGCCCTGAGACATGGTGCGTAAGCCCTGAGACATGGGGCGTAAGTCCCACAGATCTTTAAATTTTACTAATTTCAAGAATTTTAAGATAGTATAAAATAAAAAAATAATTATAAAAAATTACATTAAAATCACAAAATTATAATAAATAATCTATTTAAAATATTTATAAATTATAATTCAACTATGAATAATACGAAAAGTATGTCATATATCATAATATGCAAATTAGTTGCAACGTCGTTACAACTCAAACATCAAAAGTAATGTATTCGATACGAAATCTTATATGTATCTCTTAAGGAGTAATGAATTTTGGAAGGATTTCGATATTATAATTTGATATTTTTCTTAAAATACTCCTTTTATTTAATATGCTTTCTATTTGAAAGAGAGTTTATATAAAAACGTATTCACAATTTAAATATGATTCTCTAGCATCATTTATTTTTAAGTTTCAACAAGTTAATAAAATGATACATAATGTACCATACAATACCATGATAACTAATTATTCATAAATATTTAAACTCGCTAATATTGAGCTATTAAATTAATAAATATTGTATCTCGTAAATGTGAAAAAAATATTTAAAAAAAATAATTATAAAAAATTATGGACTATTATATAATAAAGACATAACAAAAGTTAATAAATAAATATCTTTTAAATGAAAGATTTATTTAAAAACAACGATCATAGCAGTCTTAGTGGATAACGTGCAATGATTTTTATTTTAATTATAACATAAAATACTCTCAACTTAATGATTTATGATTAAGAAAAAAGTAATTTGAATAGTCAACGATTTATTAAGAAAATTTGAGGATTTAAAAGGTTAGTTACATAGAATTGCATAAAGTTCTATTAGGCATGTCCGAGGCATAAGTCTCACGGATATAAGCCTCACACATAAGCCCAATGGCGTTTACGAGTGCTCCACCTCGGAGCGAGCTCCGGGCGAATCCCAATTCTACCTTTAAAAATAGAGGACATGATAGTCATTTAATTATAGTTCTATTATTTAGGAGTTTGAAATCGATTAAAATTTTAATTATTAAATATTTCCTTGTTTTAAGTATATGAAACTCCTAATACTTAAAATTTTGGAATCATAAAGAATCTACCTAATATAAATCTTACTCTCTTGTGTCTTATTTTGCATCCAAGATACGGATAAACTAATAGTAGTAAGATAGTTCCCATCGAGGGCTTTAGCTTCCGTGATATAATCATATTAATAGTCAAAGAGTGTTACATTGTCTCTCAACCAAATTGATAGCTTCTACAAAAATAAAATACAAATTTCAATTCTTTAAAAACATAAATTTTTTATTGAATAAAAGTAAATTTTATTTACATGTTTAAAATTTGGTATAAGTGAATATTAAGAATTTAAATCAACAAATAATAAATTATTTTGTTTAAATACTAAGAACAAATAATTAAATATTTGAATTGAATAACTCACAGATACATTTAATTTTTTTTAAAATTTATCAGAGAAGTAAAACTATTTTTTAAGTTGATACAAATCATATTATAAGACTACTAATGAAGGGAATTGTCACGATCCATTTCCATTGTAGGTTATGATGTCGCACAACACCATTGTCAGGCAAGCCAACGCGGAAATATAAATAAGTATTCATTTTACTTTACCAAAATAAGTACTACAATTTCTAAACTTGAAGTTAAAACAAGTGATAATCAGTAATGTACCCAAAATAATTATACAGTTCCCAAAAGAATAATCTACTAATATGTATGCCAAGACCCGGTGTCACAAGTTGTGGGCAACTAGTAGAATATACAAAAGAATAAATCTATCCTACTGTCCGAAATAGAATAGACAACCAAAAATAGAGAGAGATTCCATCAAGCTGCAGAACGACACGGGAAGGGAGCAGCTCACCGTGGAAGTCTCGGACTATGATTAGGGATGCGCACCAGACTGATAGCCAGATGTACCTATCTCAGATCCTGTACAATTAAGTACAGAAGCGTAGTATGAGTACATAAACAATATGTACCTAGTAAGTATCCCGTCTAATCTCGAAGAAGTAGAGACGAGAGGTCGACTTGATACTTACTAGAATCAAATAATATAATAAAGTGTTATGCTAAGCATGGAAGTCACAAATAAATAACAGTTTGTAGCAAGAAGTAATAAGTCATGTCTTTAATAACATCACATTTAGCCATTTACATTTCAAAACATTTAACAAAGCAAGTCATGAATAAGATTTCACATAGATATAATGTGCACATTATGCCGAGGTCGACGGCCCAATCCAACAGAAAAGAAACTCTCTCATTCTGTGTGAAGGAAGAAGAGACTCTGATAGCTGCCCATAGAAATGAAATTGAAGATACAATGGAGAATCTCCTTTGGTAATTCCCTTACATGGCAATACCCATTTAGCTAAGAGTTTGATGCTTCTGTGAAACAACACAGAACACACCCATGTCTATATGAATTCCGTGCTTGGTTGAAATGTTAAAATCCTTTCTCGCCCATTTTTCTGAGTATTACTACAAACTTCCCATGTTTTTTTTGTGCTATGCTTTATTAGTGCATATGAAGAAGATAGTAGTAGGAATATTTCACTTATTAGTTCTCCTTTTTAGTTCTACTTGTCGCAAATAGAAATTCAGAGATTCTTTAACATTGATCTTGAATGTCCATATTCTCAAATTCTCATCCATCTTAACTTTTTCTTCTCTCTCTTTGTCTGGGAGTGATATTTTCAGAGGAGATAGTTATACTTTATGAATGTTCTATTATGCCCTCCTGAATTACCTATTGACAAAAACAATCAAAAAAAGAAAATGTTTAGACCTGGGAAAGCAAAAACAGAGACTGTTAGCTATGTGCTTGAGATGATTAACGTATTTTACCTTTTGTTATAGGAAATGAAACTGTTAGCTGAAGTTGATCAACCTGGTACTCTAATCGACAATTATGTGACACAACTGAGCTTTATGCTCTCTCGCAAAGCAGCAAGTCTGGTCAGCCTCCAGGCGCGCCTGCCAGGTTCCAGCATCATCTGAAAGAGCAGGAAATACTCAGTAGAAAGAGGATACCACGCTAGGCAACAAGTTCATGGCTACAATCAGACTGGCAACATTTTCTACCTTGTTTTTACTTGCCCTTTTGTGATTCTTTCAAGATATATCTTATTCCTCTCTTGCCCAAATTGTGTACATAAACCATCAAGCAGAAGTATCATTGAGCAAGTTCACTTAAAGAGAAAAAAACTGATGGCCTCTTCCGAGCTTGCACTAACAAAACAACAGATATAACATTGCTTTTGTACCATGCTGCTCCTATTACGGGTTAAAGAGACTTTTTTTATTCTCTGGCAGTCTGGCGACGGAGCAGTTTTGAGTTGTAAATGGTTGTGGTCAGACATGGACTTGGCTGAGAATTGGACACTGATCCGCATATGCTACTGCAAATTATCAAGAATGTATTATTCCAACTTGTGCTATATTGCCCAAAGTTTTAGTGGTTTTGTGGGATATTAGATGTTTATTGCAACTGAAAGGAAAAGCTTGAAATGTTTCTTACAACAATGGAGTTGAATACTGTGTATAAAACAGCTGTGATTAATATCTACTGTGAGCTTAGCATTTCCATACTGTTTGTCTTCCCTTGAGTTTTGACTTTCGACAGATCCAATTTCATTTCATAGTTCTGTATGCTGCCGCATGTACAATATTAGCAGTCCTGTAGTTTATCAATCACTTCAACTGCTCTATGATCCTTTATAATAGCACGGCATCATGGTGGCAGGTTATGTTGTGTGGACTCTTCAAAACTGCTGTCGTACCTCGTGTCGGATCCTCAAAAAGTGCACTACTTTTGGAGGATCCAACACGCACTAACATTTTCAGAGTGTCTGAGCAACCCACTCGCTGCTAATATTGAAGTATGTCAATTCCTAGCGAAAAGAATATAATTAATTGATCAATTGAAGAATATGCATCTTTGCATTCGTGAGGAAAGAAAATACATTAATGTTGTAACCTTTACAAATGTACAAATAAAAAGTATTAAATTTTATTGTGTTTGCTAAACATATAAATCTCTAAAAGGCCGAACACCTAGAAAGTGATCCTAACCAAGAATGCAGGCTTGCTAGTTCCGGCCCTTGGCATAGTTACAGGCTAACCCGAAACATCAACTGAATAAGCACATTTGTAGACACCAAAACTTGAGTGCCAAGTACAAAATTAACACCAGTTGATTTCAGATGACAAGAATTTTTTGTCAGAGCAAATACAATGCAAACCAAACGCGTGCTGGACATGCCTATACATACCTAAATAACAGATGAAAACGAAATCTTGAATTTTCATTTCTTTAATGAAAATAGATAAAATCTCATGATTACAACTTCTGAGACTTCTCCAAAAGAAAGTTGATTTCAGATACTATATGTGAGAACTGTAAAGACCTACACAAAAAGGAAAGGGGAAAAAAAAACTAAAGCACTTTCAACCTCAACCTACAAAATCGCGCCTTCATCAGACAGTAACTAGCTTGCTAGGATCTCAAACCACCAAATAAACAAATCGGACAAGGCCTTCAAGGAATTGTTAGCAATGCATCAATCAATCCAACGAATTACGTAGTCGTCCTTTGCTGACACAGGATATTTAACATTGCAGCAAAGAGCATGTTCAGGACTTTTTACTCTNACCCCCACCCCCACCCGCAGCCCCACCCAGGTGGAATCTTTTTTTTTTTGTTGAGAAAGGTAACAATCCAGGTCCCCAGATATCTTTCAAATAAATACTAGAAAAACAAAGATATCAGATTCCAAAAGTAAGAAAACTAAGCTTCAAAAAACTAGGACATTCCAACTGCTTTTTGCAAACACTTGCCAGGAAAAAAATACAGCCCCCTTCATCTGAATGGTAGAGATGGAATTCTTTATAACCGAAAAGAAGTACTAACATGTAGGACGGAATAGGCAAGCTACAGAGTTGTTCATGGCCAAGAAATTGGTGAACTTCAAAAACATGGAAACAAACATAGAAGGTTTTCAGGGGGATAAAAGAGATAGAGAAGAGAAGCAGTGAACAATACACAGTTCCTGGAGAGTTTTTTGCATTCTAACACAGATAGCACAGGAAGATCAAAAGTCACATTTTTTCTATCATGAAACCCTAAGTGACAAGTTTTAGTATAACAACCCCCAATACTCACACACACAGGGGCGGAGCCAGCATTGGGGCTCCGGATTCGGCGAGCCCAGTAGCTTTGGTTCAAGCCCTGTATTTGTCTTGAAAAATTCATTAATTAGTTATAAATTAATAATTTAGAACTCAGTAACTTAAAAGGCTTAGAATATTGAACCCATAAGCTTGAAATTCTAGCTCCGCCTCTGCACACACATAATGTGTTTTTCTCTGTGTGTGTGCGTATACATAATGATAATATTATATTCCCTTCCTACTCAGAAACCGGTTGGCCTCGTCACTTTTCATAATTTCATCCAAAGCTGCCATGAGTATTGCAGCACATCAGTTTACCTGACTAAAACGGAGTCCTATATCTCTGCTGTAGAAATCAGCATATTTGATCATGAACATACCACAATCAAACCTGTTCATAGTGCAGTTTTTATCAGTATGACCAGAAAACAAACTTAATGAACAGAAAGCAGTAATAAATTAAGCACTGATAGAAATCAAAAGTTGATTCATATTTCTGGTAACCCGAACCAGCTGAAAACTAGTTTGGCAAAACCATGGAAATGAAATTTAGAGTCAGTTAATTAGACCTTCACACTAGTTTAACAAAACTTAATACATCTACCCCTCTAGTTTGATGTTTCATTAGATCCTTTCTCTTTCCATTAGCCTCTGCTATTAGAACATTAAAAGCACAAAAATTTAAGTTCTCAACCATTTGCCCTCTAACAGTAGCGTATTTAACAAAAAACATAGAGCTATATTAGAGAGAGAGAGAGAGAGTTTTTCATGGCCATGCTCGTTCCCCTTCGAGCGTAGCCTCTCCCTTCCCTAGCTTTGCTGATAGACACACATCAGAAAGAACACTCGTCGTGAGAGATATGGTTTATGTAAAGGCTAAATATACATCCCACAGCCCCATAGGCCTGCTCCTCTCCTTATTTTCCTTTTCTTTTTCCTTTTTCTTTTTTGTTGGTGCATTAACATTTTTAAGGAGCATATTTTGGTCAAATTACTAACAATTTGACACCATCAACTTATCCATTAAGGAGGACGGTGTTAGTTAATTCTCAAACTGGAAAAGGGAGGTCCATCGAATATTGTTAAAGATGTCTAGGTAATTGACCCTAAAATTTAAATTCAGATACTTCGAAATATTTTCTGGTTGGTTGCAAAATTATGCACAAGAAAAAGCAACTCAGTTAGCATAACGAGATTCAAAGAGGATTACTGCACAAAGCAGAACAGGGCAAGAAGCAACAATTTGTACTAGCAGCAAAGATATTGTGGTCATCTCAAACCACATCATGCCATAGAGAAAAAAAATTAAAGGAACCACTCGGGTTAAGTCTGTATACTATTAACTGGGAACTGTTTGGAACATGAGCTAAGAAAAGAAATATGTTCGACTTCAATAAATAAGGAACTGTTAATAAAATATAGGGCACAGAATAAAATGGTGTATCTGATCTATATGAAAAATAATGAGCAAATGAAGAAAATTTTATTTAAAGTCATGCACTCTAAAGTGCATCAAATCCACTAAAACTAATTACGCCAGAAGAACCACTAGTGTTATAGCATAGAACTTCTTATGTATATTTACACCAGACAAGACATGGTACATTTCTCATCCAAGTGTCTTAAGTGTAGAATACAGCTACTGCTACAAAGAAGCACCTTTGTAGCACAAACTATTCATACTTTGGACAAGTTAAGTTTCATCTAAAGCAGGCTTAAGCCAAATGACCATCTTTACTTAGACGGGCATCATTGTGATGCTTACTTGGGATAAAGGAGTCGCAAAGTATTAGCCGAATGAGATTTCATCCCCAAAAAAAGAAGTATTAGCAGAACGAGAACTATTCATGACTTTAAAAGAGACATCACAAATACGGCTACGGGCTATCAATAGGAAGTCCACTCAATAGCATAAAAAATAAAACCAATCTGCCATAAATAACATGTTATTCTAATAGAAATACAAGGACCATCTTTACTTAAAGGCTGAACACTTTGATGGCCCCTTGAACTTGCCAAGAAATTATATTTAGACACGTCAACTAAAGGTGTGACCTATTGAACACCTGACCTATGTTGAAAATGTGCATATTAAACATGTAGTGCTGACATGGCATAGAGCTTGTTTCACTTCCAAAATCGAGCTTGAGAACGAATGAGAAATTTCATGTTTCCACACAAATCAACCTCTCAACTCTCCCGCTGCAACTCCATCCTCCTACTACCACCGCACCACCTCCACAACATCATCCCCCGTCGCCTTCAAATGAGCCTCTATATAGGAACAAAAAAATATCACTACTGAAAACCTAAATATGGAGAGACAATTTTGACCGGAAATAGAAAAGAGTTATCTTGCCAGAAATATGGCCGAAACTCAATCTACATGCAAGATCCATAGATGATAAAATTGAGTGTGCACATTGCAAAGATAAAAGAACTTTTTGCAATTTTTGTCGGGTCAACATCTCATAGGTCTCAAGTCTGGGCTATAGAATTAAAACGCCTGGCTCACCTATGTAGATAGAGAAAAGGGCCGATTGAAGTGCCGAAAGGAACTAAACTCAATTAGCTCAAAAGTTTATCATCTGCGGTTAATAGAATAGAATCCACCACCACGACCACAATTGTTATTGCACTCAAAACACTGCTGTTCTCCATGGCCAACAGACGTCCATAAAGGCCAAAAAAAAGTAGAACTAATGAATAATTGCTGCAATCCACCATCACCAACATCACCACAGCTTCCTTCACTACCACCACCACAAAATTGCGATCACCCATTTCATCCAAAGACACAAAATCATGCCCGCCTCGGAGTACTCGCAATCTTTCACGCCATCAAGCGCAATAAAAGAATCAAAACAATCCTAAAGTTTCTCTTTGTAAAAGAGATTCCGCCTGTGAGTTGAATTTTCCCGATCAAGTTCTTTTAACTTTCTGTCACTTAGTTTCCCTACCAACTTCCGATAACCCTCCTCCCACGAAGCTTATGGTTTTCCAGAGACAAATGTGAAAAGGGAAAAAAGATTGAAGGATCGGAGAAGATGAGCAATTGGAGTGTCTGGAGAGAGAGAAAGAGACGGGGAGAAGAAAATGACGGTGGGATGGAACGAGAACAGAAGGGGATGGGGTAGAATGGGACTCAGTTGACACATCACTCCTTTTTCCAACATGTCTATTTCATATTGGCTACATTTTTTATGTCAAATGTGTGAAACTCGTAGGTTTAAGTATTTTGATTGACTGCCAAGCATGTGTTCAATAAGCACATTTTCAACATATGTCAGGTGGCATACATTAGGACGATTAAGGAAATGTACAATGGAGCCAAGACCCGAGTAAGAACAGTGGGAGAAGACTCGGAACGCTTTTCAGTCGTAATGGGGTTGCACCAGGAATCAGCTCTTTTTTTGATGAAGTAATTGGTTTCATTGATGGCATCAAGAAGATGCAAAATAGTTACAAAAGTAATGAAAATTGCCAGCTCCAATACAAAAAGGCAAAAAAATCAGCTTAGTACTAGGGAGCTAACAAAGTTCAAATAGCTATCAGTAGAATCTAAGGGGCTAGATAAGCCCAACTAAATCAGCTCTTAGCCTAGCCAGTTTCTATTTGCCTTAGTGATGGATGAATTGACACGTCATATCTAAGGGGATGTGACATAGTGTATGCTATTCGCAGATGATATTGTACTGGTTGACGAGACTCACGGGGAGGTGGAAGACAAACTCTGGAGTCTAAAGGGTTTAGGTTGTGCAGGACTAAAGCAAAATATTTCGAGTGCAAGTTAGTAACATAATACATGAGGCTGATGTGTAAGTGAGGCTTGATACACGAGTTATCCCCAAGAGAGGAAGTTTCCAGTATCTTGGGTCTATTTCAAGGAAGTGGAGAGATTGACGATGATGTTACACATCGTACTGGAGCAGGTGGGTGAAGTAGAGGCTCGCATCCGGTGTCTTGTGTGATAAGAATGTGCCACCAAGACTTAAAGGTAAGTTTTACAGAGTGGTTGTTAGACCTATGTTGTGTGGGACGGAGTGTTGTCCAGTCAAGAACTCTCATGTTCAGAAGATGAAAGTTGCAGAAATGAGAATGTTGAGATGGATGTGTGGGCATACTAGGAGAGATATGATTAGGAATGAAGATATCTGGGACAAAGTGGGAGTGGCCTCCGTGGTGGACAAGATACGGGAAGCGAGACTAAGATGATCCGGGCATGTGAAAGAGGAGAAGCACAAATGCACCAGTGAGGAGGTGTGAGAGGTTGACAATGGTGGGTCTACCGGGAGGTAGAGGTAGGCCGAAGTATAGGGGAGAGGTGATTAGGCAGGACATGGTGCATCTCCAGCTTACTGAGTAAATGACCTTAGATAGGAGGAGATGGACTTCGCGAATTAGGGTATAAGGTTAGTAGGTAGTCGAGCGTTGTCTCACTTTACAGTGGGAGAGGCTTGGTGCTAGTTTGGAGCTCATCTTTTGCTTCTCCTTTCATACCAGTAGTACTAGTACTATTTTCGTATTGTCTTATTCTTCAATTCCTATTACTACCTATTGTTTCATGTGCTTCGGTTATCTTATTATTTTGTTGTTACTGCTCCCTTTTTTTCAAATGCTTTGCTATGCTTTCCTTACTATTTTCCCATACCTTCTTCACTACCAGTTTTCTTTTTCAAAATTGCTTTGAAATGTTTTACTCAAGCCGAGGGTCTATCGGAAATAACCTCTTTACCTTTACAAGGTAGGGGTAAGTTCGGCCTATACACTACCCTCCCCAAACCCCGCTTCTGGAATTACACTAGTATGTTATTGTTATTGTTGAAAGGGAGCCTTAGCGTAACTGGTAAAGTTGTTGCCATGTGACCAGGAGGTCACGAGTTCGAGCCGTGAAAATAGCATCTTGCAGAAATGTAGGGTAAGGTTGAATACAATAGACCGTTGTGGTCCGACCCTTCCCCAGACCCCGCCCATAGTAGGAGCTTAGTGCATCGGGCTGCCCTTTTTATGTTGTTATTGTTGTCAGGTGTTCAATAGGTAACATCTTTAATTAAAGTGTCCAAATGAAACTTTTTGGCAAGTTTAAAGGGCCGCCTATGTATTTAGACATCCGTAAACGTAGATGATTACTATGCTTAGATGGGATAAATGGTTCACAAAGTATTAGCAGAATGAGAACTATTCATCACTTATACAACTATCAACAGAAAGTCAATTCAACAAGCAATTCTGACGAGGTCCCAAGAAAAAGTGATCTCCTCAGGTACTTAAAGACAACTAGTCATAGAAAGGGAAACGCAAATTCAAGGTCAAACCACAGGAATACTTTTCTCATTGATATTTTTAAATGAAAATATCTTTATGTTTTATGAAAATTCTTGAGCAAACTCCAAGCAGCCCAATTAGCTAATGAGGTTGCACTTCACATAGAAAGATTTGTGTCTTTTTTTGGATAAGCACATAGGAAGAATAACATATATAAATGAGGTTCCAACATGTGGGAACAAACTGTTAGACCAATAAGATTAAAGTACCATGCCTTTATCAATAAAAAGATTCAGGTATTACGCACCAATTCTCTTGCTCTGGGAGGTCCTCAACAAATTCTTGCTTCCACGAGCTAACATCAATATCTTTCCCATTCTTGTCCTTCACCTCGTCAATAAAGTACCTAGTCTGCACATTTAGTTTTCAATTTCCGCAGATCAGGACATCCTTCTATTTAAAATAAAATTTCAATAAACATGAGCGTCTCTTCCAAAAACAAATTGCAGCAACCAGTGTTAGAAGGTGCTCTTGTTTTATGTTTTATTTTTTATTTTTCATTCAATTGGTTTTCCTGCAAGTAGTGCTGCTAGTTGCTACAGGAGTGAGCACTACATAATGCCATGATATCATAGTAAGAAAGTTACAGTATCCTCCCTGCATTTTAGTCCACTAGACTATGGTAAGATTTCACTAGAGACTAAATGTGTATTCTGAAGCGACCAATAGCCTATCTGTATTTTATTTTTTTAGATCACCACGAAATCCCCAAGAGATAGTGGTGCAAGGTTCGGAAACCGATGGATAATGGGCCCACCCCTCAACCCTTTTCACTATCTCTCATTTTCTTTTCAAGAAACTCCTTACCCACTACCAAATTCCATCAGGAATTAGGTATAAGATCACACATATATTACATCCAAAACTGGGAAGAGATTAAGACAGGAAGGAAACAAAGGAAAATACAACAAATGGAAGCAGTAAAACAAGAATCAACAAATTGAAACGAAATAATGGGAAGAGGATGACCTTATCTACACCTAACCAGTCATGTTAAAAGCCTAACCAATTGGATCATATGATCCCAATGGATATGAATAGCAATTCAACACAAACCGCAATACCATCTGCTTAGGAGGCAACATAAATAAGATTAAAATCTCCCATCTAATTCCATCCACTATTAACCAGAAAATTCTATCATCATCAGTACTAACTTCTCCTTTTTTAATAACAGTGGTGTACAGGCCTCATCACTACTAACTTATTAAAAGGCTTAATGCATGTACTAATGTGTTTATGCCTAAGTCTCCAATTATAGAAATAATAGTAGTATGTTGCAGACTGCATAGAACCTACATTGACACAGTACAGTCAGGAAAAAATTAAATAGAATAAGATTTGAAAATAGAATGTCACATATGCATTCATTTGAAAAACCATTTCCTGGTAAGCAGAGCAAAACATACCAGCACTCTCAGTACTTGATTATCTCTTCCTCCAAGTGAATCAAGATACTGGAACTTTTCATCCTTCTTGTTGATGACAGCTAAACACCAATGTACTTCTTGGTGGATAGGAACAAAAATCTAAGTAGATTAGGACATATCAATCAATATACAATAGACAACAAAACTAAAGTATGAACGATTGATGATAATTCTTACTTTATCACATTCAAAGAGGCTGTACCCCAGCTTCCTTTGGGATGTCCATCTTTTCACAGATTGATAGTTATAGCCTCCCTTGCCACTGATTAACTGAAATTGCAGAAAATGTCCACAAGAACAATTAGCAGATATAACCTTCTCCATGTAGGAAACTTAATATAAGAATTTCATACACACAGATGTCACTTAGGAGGTGATAACACTATCTGACATAGCAACCTCGTCCAGTGAGCAAGATGTGATGATATTCAATAAATGGATAATCCAGGGCACATGCTAGACATCTTATAGAGGCTATTAACAAGAAAATTACAAGACCAACTTGAGGGAGAAACCAGCCAGTGTCAACCATCGGTATCATTCACCATAGAACACGCATTACTCAGATTGGAAACAAGGTTCTCTACAGAGATCAGCATAGCAACTAACAAATACTTATTAACAAATTGTGGCAAGAAAAAGTTGGTGATGAAATAATAGCAAATCATGATCCTTGCAGATTCCTTCACTGCAGAGACTAAAAGATTATGTGATTTCTTTCAATATGTCCAAGACTTGGTGGATAAAGGTACCTGGTACCTGTTGCTATGAGAGGTAGCCGGTATACAATGGAATTAGTCAAGGTGCGCGCAAGCTGGTCCGGACACCACGGTTACCAAAAAAGTAAAAGAGAGAGAGAGATAGGAGTCTGTGATAAAGAAGAGAAAACATGAACTTTCCTTCTCATCGAGGGCAAGATGAAAGAGAAACAAGAGGAAACATGGTCATTGATACTCGGGCGAGATTTCATGTCAGAGCAGGCACTAGTTAGTACATTCCAATCAGCATCCTCATTATTTCTAAGTTAGTATTAGCGACAGGACAAAGAAGATGCTAAATATGTACATTCCAAGAGTTGTAAGGAGAGAAAAGGAAAGAATTAAGAAAATCATTTTTCAACTAAGGACAGAAATGATTAATGATCGAACATGCCAATCTATGGTTCGGGTATCCACGATTAAAGTGCAATTTTTCTTCTCCGAGTGAATTGAAGAGCAGAATGGGTGAAAACATGGTTAGTAACTTCTATGTGTGTGTCTTATGTAAATCCATACTAGGATGATACTTTCAACAACTTGCCAAACAAACTCCAATTCAAAGAAATGCAAAATGAGAAGAAAAAAGAAAAAGATGAAGGAAATAAGATGACCCCTTGCCATGAAAAACATTCATGGTATGAAAAGAAGGCAAGTGATATAAACCTAGAAAGCTGATAAGCATAGAATGCAACCTAGCAAGCAACTGAATAACTTTGAAACTCAAAATTTTGAGCTTAAAGGCAAAGCAGCGACCTTCTTGTAAAAGAATGTGTTAAAGAAATGACATCTCAAGAACTTTTGGGGCTCCCTTTTCTCTCTCTCTTTTAACAACTCAAGATACACATTAATCACCTGCAAAAGATGAAAACCTCGTCATTCCCTTACTCCATTTCCATTACAGTATTTTCTATAACCACCAAAGCTAGGTAACTGGCATAAAGTAATACCTCATCATTCAACCATGCCCCAGGTCTCAAACACTGCAATATCTCTCCAGTAATATCTATATTGGAGTTTTCATGGGTTACCAAAACCTTCCTCCTGAAAAATAAGTCCACGAGAAACATATGAAGAAGTTTTAATTTGAAAATTGGAGCCTTTTAAAAAGAAAATTGAAGTTTAAATAAGTTATACCTGCTGCTATAATTAGATAAAGCATGAGAAACTTCAGCCTCTTCCTCCTTATCAATTTGCACAAAGGGTTCTGTAATCACATCCTGCAAGTAATCAAACCATACACAACATAAGGACAGAAGCGCTAATGCGTACCAATGACATTGTATACAAGGATCCAGTAATGCAGAGTTTTACACGAAAATCTAACACTGTTCAGTAATGCATATTTAGTTACGCAAAGATTTATACTGAACCAAATGTTGTACTAATAATGCATGTGTTTTATGCCTGGATTACTGTTGTTATATCGCAAAAGAAACAAGCCCTGAATGCATGCAAACGACATTACCAAGAAAAAGGCTGCAGCAATATTACCTCCTTAACATATTGTTCATCTTTCTTTTGAGGCCTCAACAACTTATATGTTTCAAGAATTTTCTCAGTATACTCAATGTGAAACTGCAGGCTCTTTAAACTATTATTTCTTTTCTCAGCTGAATCCAACAATTTCTTATACGAAGGAACAAAGGATGCTGATGAAGATGAATCATCAAACTTGCTACTACTCAAAGATAACGAATCCATCATCTTTTCTGCATTCTCCACCTTCAACAAATTCACATCGTCATCGGACACTGTTACAACTGAAGAACTCTGAAGCTGCACATCCGTAACAACACCATCATCAGAATTATCCAATATTTCAATAATATCATCACTCTCCTTCCATCTCCCACCTGACCCGTTAGAAAGACCCGTTTTGGCATTACTCACCTTCCGTCTCTGACCCGACCCGTCAAAAAGACCCGTTTTTGGAACAACCCCAGTTCCCAATTCCTCAACATTCGAATCCCCATCATCATCATCATCAATGTTTATGACCACTTCTTTATCTTTTTTCTTCACGTACCTGAAGGTTTTAAAAGCGCTTCTTTTAGCTCTATATAACTGCCGAACTAGGAAATTCCCCATTATTGAGTGGGACCCACCTCCAAATCTCGAAGAAGATGGTCTTCTACAAGGAGCATGAATTTCTCTTTTAATGGGAGTGATGGAAGATGGGTATTTGGTGAAAAGCCTTGTGACTGTTGATGTTTTGCTGTGATCTTGTGTTGTTTGGTTCATAGAAAGCCTGGGTTTTTTGGAAATGTGAGGGTCAACGTTTGAAACTGGAGTTTTGTAATTCAAGGTGAAAAAATCGTCACCCCGTTTTCGATAACTCGTTAAAGCCCCCATTGAAGTAGTAGAAAGTTGACAAGTTTTGGCAAATCATGTATGCATGGAATGGATTATCACAATGTTGAATTGGAAAAAAGGAAAACAGAGAGACATGCCAAAATACAAACGGCGAAAGTTCAATAAACAAAACATGATACTACTACAGATTCAGAGAGGAAAAGGGAACAAGAATATGAAAAGGCGGGGTGAATTTCGACGAAATCACACGAAATTAATTGTATGGGGAAAGGGTTCTTGGGGATTTCGCGATTGGGTGGGAAATTGGAGAAAACCTTTTTGCTGATTTGGATCTTTCCCTTTTAAGACCTTTTCTAGAGCTCCAACAAATTATGTTACACTTCAGTTTTAGGGGATTTTCTACTCAAAAAACAAAAGAATTTTATATGTGTATTGCATCTATATTTGTTTTTTGTCACATTTTTACTTGTGCCCGCTTTAGAAAAAAATTACAAACGTACCTATTTTTTGCGTAACTTTAGTATACGGGACTGAAGTAGCAAAGACAATCACTTCAAACTTCAGCAGTTTAGTAGACGGGCATGAAGTAGCAAGTGTGCTAAACCAAGTGTGCTGAAGTTTTTGTTTGTAATTGTTGAACTTAAGCATAGTAGCTGAAGTTTTGTTCTCTATTTGCTGAAATTTTTGTTTGTAATTGCTGAACTTAAGCATAGTAGCTGAAGTTTTGTTCTCTATTTGCTGAAGTTTTTGTTCGTAATTACACTAAATAAGCTGAAGTTTTTTGTCCTGGATTCATTAGTTTTGTCATTAAGTTTTTTCAAAAATTTCAGCAGAAGATGCTGAAGTTATTTAGTTCATTTATAAAGGGCAGAATTACATCCCTTGTCACTTGGCCCAACAACCCATCAGAAAATGGCACATGTTTGAAGCCCTTACCCAGTATAACCCAGGTTGTACATAATCTGAAAACTAATTTTCACCAGTTAGCACACCCCTTATTCCTTCGTTCCCTTTTTTTTGTTCTTCTTCTCATTAACATGTCAGCCTTTGCACCACAAAATTTCTCTACTATTGTTATTCTCCTTCAATTCTTTTTCGGATTCCAATGGTTAACTAAGGATTTGAAAAATAAAAGTCACCATTACAAGTGGTTCGAAGATTTGATTTCAGAAATTGAGTTTTCCGATTTGTTAGTTGTTTGGAATGAGTGTTGTCTCAATTGATTGGAATCATCAAGATGAGTTCAAAACTTAAATTTCAAGTGATTTGGAGTATATTTAGGCTATATTTGAGTTAAAATTTCAGAAATTGAGTTTTCCAATTTGTTAGTTGTTTGGAATGGGTGTTGTCTCAATTGATTGGTATCATCAAGATGAGTTCAAAACTTAAATTTCAAGTGATTTGGAGTAGCTTTAGGCTATATTTGAGTTAAATTTCAGAGGATGCCCAAGGAAGAAGAAGAACACGTGAAGCTCCGTTGATAGGATTTATTTGTATAATAATGTATAATATTGTATAAATAGTATATAATAGTGTATAAACACAACTTATACACTATTATATCCAAGGTTGATACATTATTTACAGGTATTTGGTGAATTTCTCGCATTTTCTTCTTCTTCTCATTCTTCTTATACACCTATATACGTAGTGTATCAAGAATATTTTCACGTTGTGATTATACATCTTTATACACTTTTATACAACTATATACATATTGTACCTCTTTGTATAAAAGTGTATAATATTGTATAAAAGTATATAAGCATCACTCACGAAATTTTTGTACGATTTTCACTTGCAATTCTTGTATAAAACTAGTCCAAATCTCCAGCAAATAACTTCAAACTTTGTATACAACCTACTTAGACTATTTCTAATAAGTTCAAACAATACCTACTCCAAATTTCTCACAAAATCATAATCGAAATTTAACAAAATTAGCATTAAAGAAGATGAGATTTTAGGTTTCTCGCGTCTGTATTTGCGTTTTGCAGTTATGATAGATATGTATAAACCTGAAGATATACAAAATTTTAAATAAAAAAAAAAGAGAAGTATTGGTTATGGAAGAAGGTACGAATGAGTGTTGACTGAATGGGGAACTAATTTTTCTTTTCAGTTTTGTTTGCATATGATTCTTTTTCATTAATTAAAGTAAATATTTATGGGTGAAAAATGAGGAGAGAGCTACAATAGGGGTAGGTAAGAATAAATGAGGTTGTTATAATTAGAGAAAATGAGAAAAGAAAAGATCTTATTGATATTTGGCTACACATTTGCAAACTTATAACTGGGCTAAAATAGTGCAAAGTCAACTTATGGAGTGCATTATTCTGTAATTTTGTCTTTATAAAAAGTTCAGCACTAAATAAACTGAAGTTTTTTTGTCCTGGATAAGCTTTTTCAAAAACTTCAGTAGAGATGCTGAAGTTATTTAGTTCATTTGTAAAAACTTCAGCTTATTTAGTGTTGAGATTTTTATAAAAAGTGAAAGTTTTAAAGATAACACCGTCAAATTCTCAAGCCATTGCTGCGGAAAAGTTTGCAACCTTTCCTTACTGAGCAACAGTCGACACATGGTTTAGTAATCCTTTGTCCAGTAGATGGGCAAACCATGTAAGCTATATGTGGATCGCAATTCCGAGTACAAGCCTTGTCATCTGCACATTCCACTTTACTTCCTAGTAGAATCGCTCCTGCAATTAATTCAATCATATTAATTCTATTAGGAGTTAATGCTTCACTTTTGCATAAATTAACTGGACATAAAAAACTTTAATTTTTTGAGCACTACAAGAAAAAAAAGGCAATAATTTGGCATAAAAGAGAATTAAGACTTTACCAGACAAAAGGAGAAAAGCAAGAAAAGCAACTCGGTGAATAGCCAATTACTGTATCTATGAATATCTGTATTACTGTATATTCATAGCAGCACCAACATCAATAGAGGAATAATAATAATAATAATAATAATAATAATAATAATAATAATAATAATAATAAGAAGAAGAAGAAGAAGAAGAAGAAGAAGAATAAGAAAACGAAGGAGGAGAAAGGGGGCTGAATTTGTTTAAAAAGTGGGTACAAGTTAAAACTTTAAAACAAATGGGTATAAGTTAAAAGGGGAGGGGGGACCAAATAGGGCGCCCCGTGCAATTTTTACTATATCATATGATAAAGAAAGAATTACGGCCCTTGTCACTTGGCATAACAGCCCAACCGAAAATGACCCAGATTTGAAGCTCTTACCCTATTTAGCCCATGTTGTACATAACTTGAAAGAAACTTTTCAGCATTTAGCCCATTATTAAAGACACACTTTTAAGGTTTTTATTATTTTCTTCCTTCTTCATTCCCAGCACACCAAATTCTCTCTCGCTGCCTCTCGCTTCTTTCTTTCTAACCCACATAGATCCTTCATCCTCTCTTAACCTAGACCCCGGTATTCCCCCTCATCTACCCCCTACGCAGTTCTGCCATCAATGGCTCGAAGAAGGCTCGGGCTTCTACTCCATCGTCCATGGTGGCAAGCAGAAGAATATTGAAGATTTTTGAAAGAAAAATGAAAATACACACAGATCTGAAATTGGGTTTGGATAAAAATCATAATTATGTAGCAATTTGTATCAATATTGTATACTAGTGTATAATTGTGTATATGGATATACAAACACCTCTTATACACTATTATACA